CAAATAACGAGTATTTTAATACCCACTTCTAAACGGGTAGGGTATGGATAGTATATTATCCGACCTGCAGGTATTCGTTACCCGCAAAAAATAAAATAAAAATTAAATATATTTTTAATTAAATTTAATTAAAAATTATATTAAATTACATTTTATTAAGTTAAATTTAATTAAAATTAAATTTTAATTTATATTTAATTTATATTATATTATATATATTTCTTGTAATTTTATTTAAATTTTACTTTAAAAATGTATAAAATATATATTTTTTTAATTTTTTTGTGAGTATTCGCAAATATCATATGTTTTAAAATATCCGTAGATATTTTTTAAACGGATACCCAACACGGGTTACGGGTGGAATTTTTATTTGTAGATCGTGTTGCGATAGGCTGTGCAACCTTACATCCTTGTTCATATACTTGTAGATCTTTTACATATATAAATATCAAATATATATTAACATTTAAATATTATCAACCACATATATTTCTATCATAATTATATATTCTTATAATTGTTATTTTTTTCTTATTTAAGGGTAATTAAAATATTCCCTTATCTCATATTTGGATCATGAGGTATTGAATATATTTAGACTTACATACATAATTAAATTATATAGGAATGACTCGGGTAGATACAACAATATCTTCTTTTTTATCGTTATTAAACTATTAAAGTTGTTTAAAATAAATAAATAAATAAACGCCAAATTCAATTGAATTAAATGCATTAATTTATATATTTTATTTAACAAGTTATTCAATTCAAAAAGTTCTTAAATTTTTTAATTATAATAAATTTTAATCACGATAATAAATTAAGTAAAAACTACTTTCCACAATGAAATTATGTCGAAATACCTTAGAAATCTAGCTTCCATATTATATTGTTATCGAAAACCTGTAAAGTAGTTAATGTTAATACATTACGTAAACTAACTTCCATATAATTTAAAGTTACGAAAATCAGTTTCTGTGTATCCTAGTTAAAAACAACTACAAAAAATCAACGGGCGGTGCAAAGAGTAATATCAAATTAATAGACCGTCAATACTTTATTCCACCCTTTTTCAGCCCATTAGCTATTGCCCAACAGCAATCACTTTGTGGCGCTGCACTTTTCAATTGGGCTTCTTCATTTGCCACCTTCTATACATATTTTCTCAATGTCTTGCAATAACTTTTTATACTTCAATGAAACTTTAAAAAACAGTCATTTTAGAACCATTCTGATACAAGTTTTATAATTCTAAAAGAAACGAAAAGTAAATTATTTACAGTTATTTGTTTCTATCTACATATACGTAGTATAATTCTTTACAAAGAATTTAATTGCATTTATATGATAAATTTATTGAATTTTATAACCACTAAAAGGTTATTTGTAGCATTATTTTTTTTTATTGAGGAAGATAATAAAAAGCTCTACAGTGAGCATGAACAAACATTTCCGAATGTCATTATTGGAGTGGCTGCTAATGGCTTATAAAAAGGTCGGTATTGGTGCTACTTTCTAAGAAACATGTATGTTGCAATTAAAAAAGTAAAAGCCGTTATTAGAGAATTAATTACGAAAATAGGACATAATTTAAATATATAAAAGATTATGACTATTTTTAACTTAAAGTCTTAAAGTAAAAGTTTTCTTTGCCCTTTATATGTTACTTAATTTTACCATTTTTATTTAATATGAAAATTTTAATTCAATCTCAGATTTCTAAATACAATACAATAACTCTCAACAGGAAAAAGTCTTTAGCAATCACTAGTTTCTGGACTTCTCAAGTAGCGGAGAAAATCTATCTGGAAATAAAATTAAGATGTGAAATGAAGCATCCAACACAGCATAGCTCTTAGTATAATAAGACTAAGAAAGAATTCATAACTTCAATATGATTACAAGATAAAGTAAATACATGCATAATCAGCCAGACAGACCAAAAACACAAATTTTACATAGTTACTTATCTACAAGACTATATAATCACTCAAGAACTTGCACATACTCTGGAAAAAGCCCTAGCAGCAACTAAACTCTTGAAGATATCTAAAATTGACAAGTAGTTTGGTTTATATATATGCATGCCATCTACAACCATGTATAATATGTTCAATTATGAAGAGGGTTTGGTCCACTAGGAACTAGTCTATGAGAAACTGCATGAATTTGCTTGAACTTACTCTTCCTAGAGTTCAAAGAAGAAAGAATAGCAGAATAACTCTGAATAAACATGGATGAAATCTTCTTTTCTGATGATCTGCTTTCCAATTTTACACGGTTGTCTAAACGAGAGATTGAACATGAATCTTGCACTGAAGACAGGAGCAGGATAATGAGAATCAGAAAAGGGGTTGAGATTTTTGAAACTCTCATGACTGATAAATGTTTGGAGCAAGAAAATGAAAGAAGAAAAATAGTTTGTATATGCGTTGGAAGAGCAGAATATGACGGAATGGCGTGGCTATACTTAACCGTATAAACACAAGACAATGTGAAAATTAGAAGCTTTTAGTGAGAAAAACAAAGCAAAATTAATATATAATATATATTTAGACAATATTTAAGGAGCATAATGTGTGACTCCCTGATGCCAAATGTCAAAACTTGACTTTTCAGAAAGCGATGAGTGGCTGCCAAATTAATCCATTGATGATACAACGTGCCAAGTTGTCAATTCTTGAGTGTGAAAATTGCATTGAAAATGGACGTCACTGGTTTCATTAACATGTTTTCAAACCTTGGCTTGTCGTGCTACTAGATTTATGTAAGCAAAGGTTTAAAATTTCATTGCCCTACGTAGATGTTTCATTTTGTAGCGGCTGCTAGTATACAAATTCCAATACGATAAGAAAGGAGAAGGAACAGTGATGCGTCATATAAGTATATTTTTAATAATATTTTTTTGTATTTTAATAAACCTAACACGACTAAAGAGAATCATCTGGCATGCAGGCTGCTTTGTTAAATAAACACGATATTGACATTGTTGTTAATTTAAGAAAAAACAAGCACAATTCTTGACAAAATCTGCTAATTATTGCATAATATTCTAGTGCCAATTTTACATTGACCAAAAATAATATAGGTTCGATGTCTTGATCCAATAGAACACTTTAAAAGGTAATTTACTTTAGAAGGGTATGTACTTTGAAGTAAAGGAGAAGCATATAAAATGTGTTGCTGAAAATGGTTCTCTTTTTAGGTGGAAAACTGAGATTTTGAGATAAGGATAGCTTGATTGAAATAGGGTTAATTTTTATTTTATTTCCGTGTTATTGGAATAAATAGCTATTAGATTTATCAATGTTGATAAATTACCTTTTTCCTGACCTTTATTTTCCATTTATAAAAACTGAATTTGTTTGTATTGCCCTAGGTTATATGTTTCGTGTGAGATAAGGAATGCAGAAGAAGCTGGTCCCCTTGGACTTTAAATACAAGGAGAATTCAAACAGGGCTGCTAAAGCCAGAGAATAATGAGTTCGAATAACATATAAGAATAAATTTTGTCCAATAAAATTTTGATGATAATATGAAAAAAAAAATACTTTACTTTCGTCGTAAAATTGATTAATTATTTCAGAATTCAAACAGCTTCATTTTCTTCATACCAAGTTTTTATTTTTTATTTTTTACTTTTTATCACACACTATTTCCAACTGTGAAGGTGTTGACTCCCTGAATACAATAAAACAAATTAGACTGGCCAACAGAAAAATGCTATATATAAAAATTTAGGTTTTCATAATTATCTATTCAGGTTGGATTTTATTTTATATATATATATATATATATATAGGATCAGTTTATATATTAAATAATTAACGTTTATAAGTTTATAAATAAATTAAGTTTCAATTATTAATTATAATAAAATAATTTAACATGTAAACATAATAATTATTTAAATTTAACTGAGACATTAATTAATTAATTACAAGTTTAGAAAATGTTTATATAATTAAATATATTTTAATGTTTATGTATTTATAAAAAAAATAAAAAAAAATGGCAGAAGGATGACTTACAAATTTTAGCTTGTTTTATAGGTGGGTTAATCCGGTCAATATCATTTTTAACATACGGATAGCCCTACCCATTCCGTGACCCCTAAAAACAACAAACCTTCCACTTTCAATTACTTGCCTTAAAACAGACGTGGGACCAAAACTTCCGATCAAACCATGTTGACGAATTATTTCAAAAGATGTAACTCTCATCAATAATCATTGCAAGGTTCTTCATTTGTTCGTGGTACAGAGCAACCCGTATTAAATAGAGGTTGTGCAATGAAAACCACTTTTCAGTCCAATATATCAACATATCTCTTCATACAAATATATCATCATATTTGGGTTATTTTGGACTACGCTTTATGTTTCAATTTTGTTAAAAAATTCACACCGACCACAAAAATATTATTGTTTCAGAAATAAATATTAAAACAATCATATAAACATTTGATGGAGTGATTGATTATTCATTATGATGCCTTCAATAATGGGAGGAGGAGAAGGAAAGTTTGAGAGGTAATATTTTTCTTGTGTAGTAGCCAGTTTGAAAGTTCAAAATTAACGTTCGGTATTTGAAATCCACTCCTCCTTCCTCCCGCACAAATAATCTACAAGTTCAAAATGAATCTTTATTTTTTTTTAACCTGGCTTTGCATACATTTCCCTCTGGCCCATCTCTATCAGCACCATTTTCTTTGCTGACATGTATAACCCTACAGAACCTGCCGGATTTCTTTGCTGCTTTATTTTACTTTAATTTCATTAGACTTGTTTCAGTACTTCTACTCTCGACCAATAAAAAGCCTTTCTTCCAAGTTTTAGGTACCAAAGCAATAAATGCATTCACCAACACACCATCCCCCATCCATTTCTGGCATCAATACATGTCTCTGAATTTTCAGTAATCGAAATTTCATATGTAACTAGCTATACCATGCACACAGATATGAAAGACTAATTATGCTTCATTTATTTTTGTCAAAGAAAAATATTATTCAATAAAGCTTACCAGTCTAATATAACACGTACATACTATGAAATTTGAAAAATTTACCCACAGTTGATTATTATAACACCGAATATTCAAATAAAGGGAGAATCAGAGGAGATGACCTACATTCATCTTCGAAAAAGCTTGAGTTACATTTGCTCAGTCTTTACAATGCAGATTTTTCTCTCTCTCCATTTCGTCATGGGCATTGTGGGACAACTCAGACATCACTCTTCTTTTCCTGGATCAATGTTCTCTTTTTCTGCATCAATGTTTGAAGGGGTTTCTTCACTTTTAACAGCACCAATTTCTGATTTGCCATCTTCATTGGGCTTAGAAGCAGTATCAATATCACGGGAAGTAGTTTCTGATGGTTCTGCGGTGGACTCTGATTCAGTTACAGGAAGTTCACTTTTGACAGTTCCAACCTTTACATACTTGGTCATGAACTTATATTCCCAATCTTGTAAAGCATCAAGCTCAAATGGGCCAAGTCCAGAAATATCCCCAGTCAAATCTTTCTCTTCAAAAGACATCTTTGCTAAAGCCCTGCTGGCATCCTTTCCAGCAAATAGAGCATAAGGTCCACCAGGACCATAAAACATCCTGGGAGGACACAATTCCACATGATAAAAACAGTGGTGTTAAAGCCCAATTAAAATATATTAAGGAACAAAAAAGAAAATCATCGCACATATGTACATATTTCATTCTTGACCGATAGAAAATGAACTATGTTGTCAAGCGATCATGTGTCACTTCAATTTGTTGAATTTTACTATCAAAAGCATATGCTCTTTTAAAGAAGGGAAAGTTTGGCTGAGCTAAAGTAGCAAGGGGCGGACCAAACAGAAAACATTATAGTAGAAACAAACAAGGCCTGCATTGATAAAAATTAATTGAAAAATCAATGAAGAAAACATATTCACATCAGTATAAAAAAAGGGGGCCAAGTTCCAGGAGAAATAAGTTAGGTAGCAATGACGATGATTTCCATAATTCAGCTTCATGAAACAGTTTCTCAAACGAAAATAGCTGACATTACAGAACTCACATTACAGAACTCGGCTACTCAATGCCACATCCAAGTCCATCTCAAACAAAGTTAGTCCAATAAAAATAAAGATCACAGTGAGCATTACATTATTCCAACATTGAGATGCGTCAAGGTGTAGTGGGACTAATAAGTAAACAATGAAAGTTCCACTCAATAAAGCAATCAGTAAAAGTTAATGCCAGTAATAGTTAATGCCGACGGGGATGACAGAAATTTAGCCTTTAAAACCGAACAAGGCCTTCCACAAAACAAAAAGTTTCTACAAATCCATGTTCGACCTTCGAAATCCAACCTTCAGATTTTCTACTTAAACCATGTACTTTGCATGTTTATGCTGTGGTTAGAAAATCAATTCACAGACTTTTCATCAAACAACATACTCAAAAAACACTTCAGACACGCACTGCAATTGTAATCAGGTACAGTTCAAAACTAGCTCTACTCAACTTTAAGACAATCAGGTCCTCAATAATATACAAGGAACAAGTTATCCTCTCATAACATGTCACAATAACAACAAAATCAGCCACGTACAGAAAGAAAAATCTGACCTTTACAAAAGCAAAAAGTACCTCCAAATTCACAAATTTGAAATACATTAACAATTAACACAAAAAGGCAGCAGAAAATGTATAACTCGAACAAATTTAAAGAGAGAAAAGTAATACATAATACCAAAAGCAATAACTGCACAAGGTTAATTTTAANCTTTAGCAATCACTAGTTTCTGGACTTCTCAAGTAGCGGAGAAAATCTATCTGGAAATAAAATTAAGATGTGAAATGAAGCATCCAACACAGCATAGCTCTTAGTATAATAAGACTAAGAAAGAATTCATAACTTCAATATGATTACAAGATAAAGTAAATACATGCATAATCAGCCAGACAGACCAAAAACACAAATTTTACATAGTTACTTATCTACAAGACTATATAATCACTCAAGAACTTGCACATACTCTGGAAAAAGCCCTAGCAGCAACTAAACTCTTGAAGATATATAAAATTGACAAGTAGTTTGGTTTATATATATGCATGCCATCTACAACCATGTATAATATGTTCAATTATGAAGAGGATTTGGTCCACTAGGAACTAGTCTATGAGAAACTGCATGAATTTGCTTGAACTTACTCTTCCTAGAGTTCAAAGAAGAAAGAATAGCAGAATAACTCTGAATAAACATGGATGAAATCTTCTTTTCTGATGATCTACTTTCCAATTTTACACGGTTGTCTAAACGAGAGATTGAACATGAATCTTGCACTGAAGACAGGAGCAGGATAATGAGAATCAGAAAAGGGGTTGAGATTTTTGAAACTCTCATGACTGATAAATGTTTGGAGCAAGAAAATGAAAGAAGAAAAATAGTTTGTATATGCGTTGGAAGAGCAGAATATGACGGAATGGCGTGGCTATACTTAACCGTATAAACACAAGACAATGTGAAAATTAGAAGCTTTTAGTGAGAAAAACAAAGCAAAATTAATATATAATATATATTTAGACAATATTTAAGGAGCATAATGTGTGACTCCCTGATGCCAAATGTCAAAACTTGACTTTTCAGAAAGCGATGAGTGGCTGCCAAATTAATCCATTGATGATACAACGTGCCAAGTTGTCAATTCTTGAGTGTGAAAATTGCATTGAAAATGGACGTCACTGGTTTCATTAACATGTTTTCAAACCTTAGCTTGTCGTGCTACTAGATTTATGTAAGCAAAGGTTTAAAATTTCATTGCCCTACGTAGATGTTTCATTTTGTAGCGGATGCTAGTATACAAATTCCAATACGATAAGAAAGGAGAAGGAACAGTGATGCGTCATATAAGTATATTTTTAATAATATTTTTTTGTATTTTAATAAACCTAACACGACTAAAGAGAATCATCTGGCATGCAGGCTGCTTTGTTAAATAAACACGATATTGACATTGTTGTTAATTTAAGAAAAAACAAGCACAATTCTTGACAAAATCTGCTAATTATTGCATAATATTCTAATGCCAATTTTACATTGACCAAAAATAATATAGGTTCGATGTCTTGATCCAATAGAACACTTTAAAAGGTAATTTACTTTAGAAGGGTATGTACTTTGAAGTAAAGGAGAAGCATATAAAATGTGTTGCTGAAAATGGTTCTCTTTTTAGGTGGAAAACTGAGATTTTGAGATAAGGATAGCTTGATTGAAATAGGGTTAATTTTTATTTTATTTCCGTGTTATTGGAATAAATAGCTATTAGATTTATCAATGTTGATAAATTACCTTTTTCCTGACCTTTATTTTCCATTTATAAAAACTGAATTTGTTTGTATTGCCCTAGGTTATATGTTTCGTGTGAGATAAGGAATGCAGAAGAAGCTGGTCCCCTTGGACTTTAAATACAAGGAGAATTCAAACAGGGCTGCTAAAGCCAGAGAATAATGAGTTCGAATAACATATAAGAATAAATTTTGTCCAATAAAATTTTGATGATAATATGAAAAAAAAAATACTTTACTTTCGTCGTAAAATTGATTAATTATTTCAGAATTCAAACAGCTTCATTTTCTTCATACCAAGTTTTTATTTTTTATTTTTTACTTTTTATCACACACTATTTCCAACTGTGAAGGTGTTGACTCCCTGAATACAATAAAACAAATTAGACTGGCCAACAGAAAAATGCTATATATAAAAATTTAGGTTTTCATAATTATCTATTCAGGTTGGATTTTATTTTATATATATATATATATATATATAGGATCAGTTTATATATTGAATAATTAACGTTTATAAGTTTATAAATAAATTAAGTTTCAATTATTAATTATAATAAAATAATTTAACATGTAAACATAATAATTATTTAAATTTAACTGAGACATTAATTAATTAATTACAAGTTTAGAAAATGTTTATATAATTAAATATATTTTAATGTTTATGTATTTATAAAAAAAATAAAAAAAAATGGCAGAAGGATGACTTACAAATTTTAGCTTGTTTTATAGGTGGGTTAATCCGGTCAATATCATTTTTAACAGACCAATACGGATAGCCCTACCCATTCCGTGACCCCTAAAAACAACAAACCTTCCACTTTCAATTACTTGCCTTAAAACAGACGTGGGACCAAAACTTCCGATCAAACCATGTTGACGAATTATTTCAAAAGATGTAACTCTCATCAATAATCATTGCAAGGTTCTTCATTTGTTCGTGGTACAGAGCAACCCGTATTAAATAGAGGTTGTGCAATGAAAACCACTTTTCAGTCCAATATATCAACATATCTCTTCATACAAATATATCATCATATTTGGGTTATTTTGGACTACGCTTTATGTTTCAATTTTGTTAAAAAATTCACACCGACCACAAAAATATTATTGTTTCAGAAATAAATATTAAAACAATCATATAAACATTTGATGGAGTGATTGATTATTCATTATGATGCCTTCAATAATGGGAGGAGGAGAAGGAAAGTTTGAGAGGTAATAATTTTCTTGTGTAGTAGCCAGTTTGAAAGTTCAAAATTAACGTTCGGTATTTGAAATCCACTCCTCCTTCCTCCCGCACAAATAATCTACAAGTTCAAAATGAATCTTTATTTTTTTTTAACCTGGCTTTGCATACATTTCCCTCTGGCCCATCTCTATCAGCACCATTTTCTTTGCTGACATGTATAACCCTACAGAACCTGCCGGATTTCTTTGCTGCTTTATTTTACTTTAATTTCATTAGACTTGTTTCAGTACTTCTACTCTCGACCAATAAAAAGCCTTTCTTCCAAGTTTTAGGTACCAAAGCAATAAATGCATTCACCAACACACCATCCCCCATCCATTTCTGGCATCAATACATGTCTCTGAATTTTCAGTAATCGAAATTTCATATGTAACTAGCTATACCATGCACACAGATATGAAAGACTAATTATGCTTCATTTATTTTTGTCAAAGAAAAATATTATTCAATAAAGCTTACCAGTCTAATATAACACGTACATACTATGAAATTTGAAAAATTTACCCACAGATGATTATTATAACACCGAATATTCAAATAAAGGGAGAATCAGAGGAGATGACCTACATTCATCTTCGAAAAAGCTTGAGTTACATTTGCTCAGTCTTTACAATGCAGATTTTTCTCTCTCTCCATTTCGTCATGGGCATTGTGGGACAACTCAGACATCACTCTTCTTTTCCTGGATCAATGTTCTCTTTTTCTGCATCAATGTTTGAAGGGGTTTCTTCACTTTTAACAGCACCAATTTCTGATTTGCCATCTTCATTGGGCTTAGAAGCAGTATCAATATCACGGGAAGTAGTTTCTGATGGTTCTGCGGTGGACTCTGATTCAGTTACAGGAAGTTCACTTTTGACAGTTCCAACCTTTACATACTTGATCATGAACTTATATTCCCAATCTTGTAAAGCATCAAGCTCAAATGGGCCAAGTCCAGAAATATCCCCAGTCAAATCTTTCTCTTCAAAAGACATCTTTGCTAAAGCCCTGCTGGCATCCTTTCCAGCAAATAGAGCATAAGGTCCACCAGGACCATAAAACATCCTGGGAGGACACAATTCCACATGATAAAAACAGTGGTGTTAAAGCCCAATTAAAATATATTAAGGAACAAAAAAGAAAATCATCGCACATATGTACATATTTCATTCTTGACCGATAGAAAATGAACTATGTTGTCAAGCGATCATGTGTCACTTCAATTTGTTGAATTTTACTATCAAAAGCATATGCTCTTTTAAAGAAGGGAAAGTTTGGCTGAGCTAAAGTAGCAAGGGGCGGACCAAACAGAAAACATTATAGTAGAAACAAACAAGGCCTGCATTGATAAAAATTAATTGAAAAATCAATGAAGAAAACATATTCACATCAGTATAAAAAAAGGGGGCCAAGTTCCAGGAGAAATAAGTTAGGTAGCAATGACGATGATTTCCATAATTCAGCTTCATGAAACAGTTTCTCAAACGAAAATAGCTGACATTACAGAACTCACATTACAGAACTCGGCTACTCAATGCCACATCCAAGTCCATCTCAAACAAAGTTAGTCCAATAAAAATAAAGATCACAGTGAGCATTACATTATTCCAACATTGAGATGCGTCAAGGTGTAGTGGGACTAATAAGTAAACAATGAAAGTTCCACTCAATAAAGCAATCAGTAAAAGTTAATGCCAGTAATAGTTAATGCCGACGGGGATGACAGAAATTTAGCCTTTAAAACCGAACAAGGCCTTCCACAAAACAAAAAGTTTCTACAAATCCATGTTCGACCTTCGAAATCCAACCTTCAGATTTTCTACTTAAACCATGTACTTTGCATGTTTATGCTGTGGTTAGAAAATCAATTCACAGACTTTTCATCAAACAACATACTCAAAAAACACTTCAGACACGCACTGCAATTGTAATCAGGTACAGTTCAAAACTAGCTCTACTCAACTTTAAGACAATCAGGTCCTCAATAATATACTAGGAACAAGTTATCCTCTCATAACATGTCACAATAACAACAAAATCAGCCACGTACAGAAAGAAAAATCTGACCTTTACAAAAGCAAAAAGTACCTCCAAATTCACAAATTTGAAATACATTAACAATTAACACAAAAAGGCAGCAGAAAATGTATAACTCGAACAAATTTAAAGAGAGAAAAGTAATACATAATACCAAAAGCAATAACTGCACAAGGTTAATTTTAAAAAAAAGAAACAAAAAAAAAACCTAACTTGGAAGGCATTCACTATGAACACAAAACAAAGAAAATACCCAAAATAAGCCCCGACCATCAAGATGAAACAAAACACAGAACAAATTAAGAAAAGGATGGGCTTTGTGTGAAGTTAAACCTGCTCTGGGAGACATCGTAGATCTGTCCCTTGATGGCCATAAGCAAGGGTTTACCCGTATCGTTGCCGTCGTAGGCTTTGAGCTCCTCAGCCGTGATCTCACCGAGCTGGACCGGCGGCCGCAGAGGCGGCATCTCCTCCTCCTCGGTGTGGCGGGGGCGGGGGCGCTCCGGTTGAGTCCCAAAGAGACCCAAAACGACGTAATAAACGGCCAGAATTAGGGCGAGCACCGTGAAGAAGGTGGAAGGAGTTAGGCCAGTGTAGACCACTATGGCCTCCTTCNATACGGATAGCCCTACCCATTCCGTGACCCCTAAAAACAACAAACCTTCCACTTTCAATTACTTGCCTTAAAACAGACGTGGGACCAAAACTTCCGATCAAACCATGTTGACGAATTATTTCAAAAGATGTAACTCTCATCAATAATCATTGCAAGGTTCTTCATTTGTTCGTGGTACAGAGCAACCCGTATTAAATAGAGGTTGTGCAATGAAAACCACTTTTCAGTCCAATATATCAACATATCTCTTCATACAAATATATCATCATATTTGGGTTATTTTGGACTACGCTTTATGTTTCAATTTTGTTAAAAAATTCACACCGACCACAAAAATATTATTGTTTCAGAAATAAATATTAAAACAATCATATAAACATTTGATGGAGTGATTGATTATTCATTATGATGCCTTCAATAATGGGAGGAGGAGAAGGAAAGTTTGAGAGGTAATATTTTTCTTGTGTAGTAGCCAGTTTGAAAGTTCAAAATTAACGTTCGGTATTTGAAATCCACTCCTCCTTCCTCCCGCACAAATAATCTACAAGTTCAAAATGAATCTTTATTTTTTTTTAACCTGGCTTTGCATACATTTCCCTCTGGCCCATCTCTATCAGCACCATTTTCTTTGCTGACATGTATAACCCTACAGAACCTGCCGGATTTCTTTGCTGCTTTATTTTACTTTAATTTCATTAGACTTGTTTCAGTACTTCTACTCTCGACCAATAAAAAGCCTTTCTTCCAAGTTTTAGGTACCAAAGCAATAAATGCATTCACCAACACACCATCCCCCATCCATTTCTGGCATCAATACATGTCTCTGAATTTTCAGTAATCGAAATTTCATATGTAACTAGCTATACCATGCACACAGATATGAAAGACTAATTATGCTTCATTTATTTTTGTCAAAGAAAAATATTATTCAATAAAGCTTACCAGTCTAATATAACACGTACATACTATGAAATTTGAAAAATTTACCCACAGTTGATTATTATAACACCGAATATTCAAATAAAGGGAGAATCAGAGGAGATGACCTACATTCATCTTCGAAAAAGCTTGAGTTACATTTGCTCAGTCTTTACAATGCAGATTTTTCTCTCTCTCCATTTCGTCATGGGCATTGTGGGACAACTCAGACATCACTCTTCTTTTCCTGGATCAATGTTCTCTTTTTCTGCATCAATGTTTGAAGGGGTTTCTTCACTTTTAACAGCACCAATTTCTGATTTGCCATCTTCATTGGGCTTAGAAGCAGTATCAATATCACGGGAAGTAGTTTCTGATGGTTCTGCGGTGGACTCTGATTCAGTTACAGGAAGTTCACTTTTGACAGTTCCAACCTTTACATACTTGGTCATGAACTTATATTCCCAATCTTGTAAAGCATCAAGCTCAAATGGGCCAAGTCCAGAAATATCCCCAGTCAAATCTTTCTCTTCAAAAGACATCTTTGCTAAAGCCCTGCTGGCATCCTTTCCAGCAAATAGAGCATAAGGTCCACCAGGACCATAAAACATCCTGGGAGGACACAATTCCACATGATAAAAACAGTGGTGTTAAAGCCCAATTAAAATATATTAAGGAACAAAAAAGAAAATCATCGCACATATGTACATATTTCATTCTTGACCGATAGAAAATGAACTATGTTGTCAAGCGATCATGTGTCACTTCAATTTGTTGAATTTTACTATCAAAAGCATATGCTCTTTTAAAGAAGGGAAAGTTTGGCTGAGCTAAAGTAGCAAGGGGCGGACCAAACAGAAAACATTATAGTAGAAACAAACAAGGCCTGCATTGATAAAAATTAATTGAAAAATCAATGAAGAAAACATATTCACATCAGTATAAAAAAAGGGGGCCAAGTTCCAGGAGAAATAAGTTAGGTAGCAATGACGATGATTTCCATAATTCAGCTTCATGAAACAGTTTCTCAAACGAAAATAGCTGACATTACAGAACTCACATTACAGAACTCGGCTACTCAATGCCACATCCAAGTCCATCTCAAACAAAGTTAGTCCAATAAAAATAAAGATCACAGTGAGCATTACATTATTCCAACATTGAGATGCGTCAAGGTGTAGTGGGACTAATAAGTAAACAATGAAAGTTCCACTCAATAAAGCAATCAGTAAAAGTTAATGCCAGTAATAGTTAATGCCGACGGGGATGACAGAAATTTAGCCTTTAAAACCGAACAAGGCCTTCCACAAAACAAAAAGTTTCTACAAATCCATGTTCGACCTTCGAAATCCAACCTTCAGATTTTCTACTTAAACCATGTACTTTGCATGTTTATGCTGTGGTTAGAAAATCAATTCACAGACTTTTCATCAAACAACATACTCAAAAAACACTTCAGACACGCACTGCAATTGTAATCAGGTACAGTTCAAAACTAGCTCTACTCAACTTTAAGACAATCAGGTCCTCAATAATATACTAGGAACAAGTTATCCTCTCATAACATGTCACAATAACAACAAAATCAGCCACGTACAGAAAGAAAAATCTGACCTTTACAAAAGCAAAAAGTACCTCCAAATTCACAAATTTGAAATACATTAACAATTAACACAAAAAGGCAGCAGAAAATGTATAACTCGAACAAATTTAAAGAGAGAAAAGTAATACATAATACCAAAAGCAATAACTGCACAAGGTTAATTTTAAAAAAAAGAAACAAAAAAAAAACCTAACTTGGAAGGCATTCACTATGAACACAAAACAAAGAAAATACCCAAAATAAGCCCCGACCATCAAGATGAAACAAAACACAGAACAAATTAAGAAAAGGATGGGCTTTGTGTGAAGTTAAACCTGCTCTGGGAGACATCGTAGATCTGTCCCTTGATGGCCATAAGCAAGGGTTTACCCGTATCGTTGCCGTCGTAGGCTTTGAGCTCCTCAGCCGTGATCTCACCGAGCTGGACCGGCGGCCGCAGAGGCGGCATCTCCTCCTCCTCGGTGTGGTGGGGGCGGGGGCGCTCCGGTTGAGTCCCAAAGAGACCCAAAACGACGTAATAAACGGCCAGAATTAGGGCGAGCACCGTGAAGAAGGTGGAAGGAGTTAGGCCAGTGTAGACCACTATGGCCTCCTTCAAGGTCTCCCACAGTTGCACAGACATCACTTGCGAGTGTTAGAGAGACCCAAGAGGCTACCAAGAGAAGGAAGATATGGTTTGTTTGGTAGGTTTGATTTAGTAATATATAGTGATGAATAAACTCAGTATCTCGATGTTTGAGGGCACGGTCCTGATTTCTTGTCGTATCTTCTCACCTAACTCATCATTTCACCCAATCTACAGTCTTTCTTCCTTGTCTTCTTTATTAAATATTTTTAAACTTCTTATTCCTCCTTTCAAGAAAATCAATCCATACTTTTTTATTTTTGTTATGACCAATGAATTTTAGCTTTTAGACTTTAAAATGTGATTTTGGTGTTTACTATGAATTTTAGAATAAATAAATAACTTACCTTAGATATTTTAAACAAAATGTAAATATGTTAAATGGGAATTTTTGTTTATAAAGTTATAATTTTTTGAGTTGGAATCGCTGGATTTTTAAATTAATGCATTTTAATTGAAACATCTTAAATTTACGACAAATGGTTGTCTAAATAAAAATAATTCAACAGGTCATGCTAAAGTTGTATTATTAAAAAATGGGTAATAACTTGTTCATATATGAACAAAAATGTATGGTCACATAAATTTTAAACAAATAAAATTTCATTTAATTTGATTTGACACGTGTCTTAACAAATTATTTGATTTTCAAACTTATCAAGAGAAGACAAGATAATAAAAACCTTTGTGTCGTTTTATTAAAAATATAAATAGAGAAAGTTCTCCCCGATTTTAGTTGTGATTATGAAAGTTATTGGAATAAAAATATTCTAAATTAGCGGAAAGTTTAAATTAAACCAAATTTAAAAGATAAAAACTGAAATAAATTATAAAATAGGAAAGACTAAAATAAATGTGACATAGTGTAAATTTATAAACAAAGTATTATACATTTTCATAATACACAACAAATCATATAAAATATTAATATAATTATCTTGGAAAATAGTTACACTAAACTAGTTTTTCAAAAGCTGAGAAATTGTAATACAAACAATTAATTAAAACAAAAATTATCACACCTTATTAGTCTCCACTAAATACATGTAATTAATTATTTGTTTACACCAATAGATGATTATTGTAAAATATAAATATCACATAAAAACAAAAAGGCATGATAAATTAGTGTTCAAAACAAAACTTATAAAATGATTGAAGCATATAACATATTAGTTTCACATTTATAACATATCATAACTAATATGAACATACATATAGATGATTCTACACTCAATTATTTGGATACATACTTTAACATATACTTTAGTCAGGTGTGCACTCGTAGTAGTATTTATGATTTGCATGGTCATAAACACACCAAAAATATAGGATAATGATCTAAAGTCTAGTATTAATTCATCTTTACATTAGTTGAATATCTCGTGGTATATCAAAATATATCATTTATGAACTTTCATATATCAAGCACACACACTAAACATCACTAAGTCATGAAATTTCTCCCTAAAATTCTTTCAATAAACAAATCACACATCAATGTATCAAAAATTTATATACATGCATGCAGTCATTATACTAACGAGTAATGTTAAGAATGATACAAATTAATAGCAAACAACCAAAGGAATAAACCAAAACATGAAATATAAAATGGCACTCAACGCCATTATTATTGCAAAATGGCTCATTCAATGATACTGTTTTGTCTCTAAGCGACCTGAACTTAAAATGATTCCAAACATACAATGGAAAATGGCGTTCAGCGGGGTCTTGCCACTGCTTAACACCAGATCATTCGCAAAAATGGTCGCTTAACAAAAAAAGTGGATGCTTACCGATAAGGAGCAAAATTGCTTTTAGACTTGTAGTACTAAACTAGCGCTCAAAGCCATATCAAAAAAACAACCACTTTAAATATGTAATTTGGGAAACCAATGATTTGTTTAGAAAATCAAATTGATGTTCTTGACTCAACGCTTAATTTAAAAATAGTTCTTAATGTCATAGTGGACATTAACTTTATCGAACTGTCAAATTATCATTTTTCTCAATCATCATATTCCAAACACAACCAACACTTAGCTCAAACAATAAACATATTATACAATTCAACACAAAAAGCAATATTGTTCAACATATTAAACTCAACCAACAATATTTAACTCTCACACACTAAAATATCTAATTTATTTTACTTGATAAAATAACCACACAACTTTATGAATCCTAAGACAACTCCACAGTCATAAAAATTCTATATATTCTTACCAAACAAAAATATTATCAAACACGTTAATGAAATCACCATCAACAAAATTTTATGAAAACTTAAATTTAACTTACAACTTAAAATAATTCACATTTACATAAACACAAAACCAATAAGACAGTATCCAAGTTTTCTTATTATTACTACTACATAGATCTAATTTTA